CTAAAAATATTTGCTTGCCAAGAAAGATCCTAAACATCGCATGTGTTGCCCATCTCATCACGTCGTTAGCTAAGCAATTTGGATTTTCACAAAGCATCATTGTAAGGCCACCACACTTGGTTTTTGAGCACGGAATGTATTTTGCATTAGCAGCCAGCACAGCAGTGGAGAATAAACATTCTCCAGCCTTAGTCTGTGAAAGAACAGGAGTAAGCATCACAGAAACGATACTGATTTACCTGATATTCTGGCATGACAAGAAAAGTGATTTACCTTAGATTTTGGCTCGAGCAGCATTGTGTCCTGAGAATTGGTGACCTTGTCCAATGTACCCCCACGATCCTGTAAAAAAATGAAATGGAATTAAACGTCACGAGTAATAAGGAAGAATGATTTACTTGCGACTTGAGCAACATCATCTCTGTTATTCCCTCTGAATGCATTATGTCACATACGGCCGCGTCCTTGGCCACCCTGCCCTGGACACCAAGCTTGTCCCAAAGACGATCGTCAAAGACTGCCTTGGCAGGGACAAGCTTGGTGCCAGCCACACACGGCAGCACGTCGCGTAGAGCATCTTCAGCGAAAAAGAGGCCCATCTTTCTATTGATGCCAATACCGCGGAGATCCACCACGACGCACTTTCTGATCCCGATCGCGTCCACAGCGTCCAGCTCCTTGACAGGATCCTCTCCACGGTCATGAGACGCCTGGACGAACTTCCTGGCCGACAGTGTCATGGGCATGCCCCGGAAGTCGTCGTAGTTGACGACCCAGTCCAGAGAGCCATACTGCAATGCCTTGGTGGGAACCGCCAGAAGGATGTAGCCAGTGGAGACCCGATTCTGCCAGATGGATTCCTTATAGACGAGGACTTGTTTAGCATCAAGCTCTCCTAAAGTTCCATCGATCACGAATTCCGCCGGAGGACCCCGACACCGCAGGCCGAGCTCAAACGTGGAAATGCAGCCCACGGCTTCGATCCTCCTGATCTGGCATGGCTCCAGCGGCGTCATTGAAGGCTCCATTTCGTTGTCGTACAAGTAGGCTGGAATGCTCCAAGGCGCTCCCCAGTAAAGGGCATTTGCATGTGTACGACGCTGCTTGGGGCAGATGTTTCCATGAGCGTAGCTCAGGTGATCAAGCAACGTCGTGTCGGGGCAGCCGCATGCAGTCAACTGCCGGTTGTAGCAGATATCGCAGAAGAGGAACAAGGAGGTGGTGGTGTTATCATAGACGAGCTTGAGAGGAGGAGCAGGAGTACGAGGCCGAGCTCGAACCCGAGCTTGAGTTTCCACGAGCGTGCCGCATCCGCGGGCAACTCCTGCACCCACAAGCTAAATGTTAGCTGCGCTCTTGCGCTCTTCTACTCACTCACGTCCAAAAAGCCGCCGCCAGAACATGCCGCCCAACCAGGAGCAAGAGTTTATCTGCGAGTGTGCTGGGCAGATCCACTTATCCGCGAGTGTGCTAGGCAGATCCACCGATAGCTACCACCCTAGACACTTTTAGGGCAAGGTTCTTAGAATATTCCTTGAAACTCCATCTATATAAAAAGTTAATCTTTATAATGAACATTTAATTTCTTTAGTGATCAATGATGCGGCATCTCAAATATGTACTTAGAATTAAATAATTCTTGCTATCAAAGTTTTAGGATCACCAACTTGATCCGTTAGCCTCGTGTCATAGGCACTCGTTTGTAGTATTTAACATCGGTTCTAGAGCTCCTTTTCCTATCTTTCTAGGCTTCCATAGTGTAGAGTTCTCTATGGCTCACACTTTTCTCTTTGCTACTTCTCTCTTCGCTGTTCTTGCTAGCGCTGTTCTAGCTACCAACACCAACAACTCATGTTTCCCAGGTAAGACTCTGCAAGCGATTTTACAACCAGTCACAAGCTTTATGTTCGCAGGCGATGCCACCGTCCAAATGTATAACGGCGACCTCAAACTCATGAGAGATCTCGAAGTTGGAGACAAGGTATTGTATTGCTCTTAAGTTTCTCGAAAGCCCATCTAAACGTGCCAGATCTAAAGGTTGCAGTGAGCAAAAACGTGTTCTCCGATGTCTACGCATTCGGCCACAAGGACGCCGATGTGATCTCCGAGTTCATCCAGGTCCACACCGCCTCAGACATGATCGAGCTTAGCGAGGGCCACTTCATCCCAGTCGACGCCAAGGGAAAGCTTGTGTACAAGCGAGCCAAGGATCTCCAGGTTGGAGAAACTCTCTGGGGATCATCTCAAATCACTGGTAACATCATACTTCTTTTGAGACTTTGCTCTTACTTTTGACAATTATAGAACTTTCCAAGGTGGAGAAGCTGGGCCTCTACAACCCATTCACTCTCTCCGGCAACATCATGGTTAACAACGTGGAGGCTTCCTCCCACAGCGAGTGGTTCCTGGACTCCCTCTTTGATGCCATTGGCGCAACTGAGTACCTCCCATATGCATACCAGGCCGTGCTCGCTCCACTTCGTGCCATCTACAACATTGTTGGGAAGGAAATCTATGGAAAGGGTTATGCTGCCGTCAATTCTTGTGTCAACGTTGCTGAATTTGGAATGAAGCACGGAGGAAGCATTGCTCTCACCGTTGGAATCGCTGGAGTTGCAACAGCAATGCTGGCCACGAAGTCTTGAGCAAAAATCAGGAGTAAATAAGAGAGAAATAATCACAATCCAGATCAAGTCAATGTAAATCTCCAGAACAAGAACAAAAGAAATGAGTGAAGAAACTGTGTGATGTCAAACAAAAGCTTCATTTCATGACATGCATCACAAAGATGCATAGATGTTTTCCAAGTTTTTCAAATGTATAAGAGGTTCTAAATGTATAATAAGGATAGTGGGTAAGTCGGGCATAGTTGACTAACCTAAGGTATAGTTTAGCTTTTGTTTGTGTTTTTGTCATTGTTTTGTGTCTGGATTGGGTCTAAGCTTAAATTTCATATTATGTTAGTTGGTGGAGTATTTATATCCTCGCATTAGACTACTAGTATGCTGAAATAGTATTAAATTTCATTTGGCTCCATTTTACATGTTAGTTCTAGCATTGGGATGGTAAATGCTCTAATGTTATTTTAAGTTGCTTCACATTCCTATCCCTTCACTTTTTGTGCTGTACATTCAAGAATCCGTTCTATGCTTTAGTGCTATTACCCTTTAACCTTATCTTAGGAGTTTGGCACTATTCCTTCATTCAATAGTCTAAGGCCCTGAAACTCAAGTTCTACACCATTGTCCTTGGGATACATGGCATGTGATATATAGCACATGTGCTTCATGGTTATCATATGGTAAATCATCATAGGATAAAAAGGTAAAAATCATGTGATATAAATTTTTATATTCCATGCACTCACATTGATGGAGTTGAAGAGTAGCTTTGATTGTCTTTGAGGAATGCTTAGATTTATATTTTTAATTTAGATCTAGTTTTTGGTTTAGATAATTAGTTTAGTTATTTGATGTTATGTGGTTGCAACTAAATAATTAATTTCAGTTGATGGTGACATTCATGGCAAATGGTGCAACTCTTCTTACTCTTTCTGCCCATCCTTATATCTGGTCAAATTTTTTCTGTAGAAATCCCAAAGATGATATTGATCATTGGTTCAATCACTTTACATTGATTGCCAATTATTATTTTTGAAATGATATCTAATATTTACACAAGTTTTTCACATATCTCCAAGAGACATTGTTGTAGTGGTACAATGGTTTAAGTGTGGAACCTCCTCCCAAATGTCTTCAAGCATGCATTTAGAAATGTTGATAATTGTGATGATGCCTTCTAACAATTGCATCATCTTTGTCAGGGACCGTTTAAGTCAGTTATGCAATTTAATGTTTGAATCTAAAGCCTCTTACTTCGTGTAGAGCTTAAGTAAATAAAAATCAGAAATATTTTCAAAAGAAATATAAAATGATTTGCTACACTTTAGATGTACCAATGCTTTGTTTGTTTAATAGTAGTGCTTATTATTTATTAATCTAATTGATCAATAGGAAGTTTATAATTTCTAAACACGAGATTAAATTTATTACACATTAACCATTAAATGTTCTAGCATTAAATGGTAGAATATCCTAGAGTATTTAAATATATTCTAAATGTCTACTACCAATTCTAAATGGACAATCTATATTATCTCACTTAAGTAAGTGATAAACCAAATTTCCATTACCTAAACAAACATCCATAAATTTTTTATTGAAATCATGCAAATTGAACCTGCCTCAAGGCCTACAACTGGACAACCTGTGTGCCTTGGGCCATTATCACTTTATTATTATAGATAGAATTGTAACAAAAAAAGTGTAAAGAATAAATAGAAATTTCTATGTTGTACATATTGATTTTTTTCAAGTCATCTACATATAGGAGGAGCTAGAACTAAGACATATCTCATTTTATAGCTATTAAATATTAAATTTAATGCTTAATCTAGATTTATACTTATCATTATATTCTAAAATATATTACCCTAAACCGTAAATATCAAATAATATTTAAGATATAACCCCTACTGATTGTTTAACACCATATCAATGTTTTTCATATCTTCAATACAGTGCATAAACAGCAAAGAAATATCTAACTTCCAACCAGTTTTCAGCTTCTGGACATATCACACTTAGATCATCACTGAAGTTGAACCCAATTTTTGCTATAAAATGTCCATATTCCTAAACATAAATATTTAGATACTTAAATATAAAAATAAAAAACTCACAAAGTATGATGATGAAAAATTGCCAAATAATCATCCAATCCAGCCAACCTTGAATCTGTAGAAAAAATAAAATAACCTGACTCAGAATACTTAAGGCTCATCCCAAGTGCTATACTTCTTATATGTTGAAGTTCAAATTCAGTAGTTTTAAGAATCCTAGCTGTTTGTAAAGCTTCCAGCACTTCCTAAAAAACATAAAGAATAAAAGTAAAAAAATTTCAAATGATATAATATAATACCATGATAGGAATGTTGTACATTGATTTCCTACTTTGGACAGTTTAGTCCCAGGGTCCTTTTGTAAATGCCGCTCTGAAAGTACAAAAACATTTTAGATTAAAAGCTAAAAATATTTGCTTGCCGAGAAAGATCCTAAACATCGCCTGTGTTGCCCATCTCATCACGTTGTTAGCTAAGCAATTTGGATTTTCACAAAGCATCATTGTAAGGCCGCCACACTTGGTTTTTGAGCACGGAATGTATTTTGCGTTAGCAGCCAGCACAGCAGTGGAGAATAAACATTCTCCAGCCTTAGTCTGTGAAAGAACAGGAGTAAGCATCACAGAAACGATACTGATTTACCTGATATTCTGGCATGACAAGAAAAGTGATTTACCTTAGATTTTGGCTCGAGCAGCATTGTGTCCTGAGAATTGGTGACCTTGTCCAATCTACCCCCACAATCCTGTACAAAAATGAAATGGAATTAAACGTCACGTGTAATAAGGAAGAATGATTTACTTGCGACTTGAGCAACATCATCTCTGTTATTCCCTCTGAATGCATTATGTCACATACGGCCGCGTCCTTGGCCACCCTGCCCTGGACACCAAGCTTGTCCCAAAGACGATCGTCAAAGACTGCCTTGGCAGGGACAAGCTTGGTGCCAGCCACACACGGCAGCACGTCGCGTAGAGCATCTTCAGCGAAAAAGAGGCCCATCTTTCTATTGATGCCAATACCGCGGAGATCCACCACGACGCACTTTCTGATCCCGATCGCGTCCACAGCGTCCAGCTCCTTGACAGGATCCTCTCCACGGTCATGAGACGCCTGGACGAACTTCCTGGCCGACAGTGTCATGGGCATGCCCCGGAAGTCGTCGTAGTTGACGACCCAGTCCAGAGAGCCATACTGCAATGCCTTGGTGGGAACCGCCAGAAGGATGTAGCCAGTGGAGACCCGATTCTGCCAGATGGATTCCTTATAGACAAGGACTTGTTTAGCATCAAGCTCTCCTAAAGTTCCATCGATCACGAATTCCGCCGGAGGACCCCGACACCGCAGGCCGAGCTCGAACGTGGAAATGCAGCCCACGGCTTCGATGCTCCTGATCTGGCATGGCTCCAGCGGCGTCATTGAAGGCTCCATTTCGTTGTCGTACAAGTAGGCTGGAATGCTCCAAGGCGCTCCCCAGTAAAGGGCATTTGCATGTGTACGACGCTGCTTGGGGCAGATGTTTCCATGAGCGTAGCTCAGGTGATCAAGCAACGTCGTGTCGGGGCAGCCGCATGCAGTCAACTGCCGGTTGTAGCAGATATCGCAGAAGAGGAACAAGGAGGTGGTGGTGTTATCATAGACGAGCTTGAGAGGAGGAGCAGGAGCACGAGGCCGAGCTCGAACCCGAGCTCGAGTTTCCGCGAGCGTGCCACATCCGCGGGCAACTCCTGTGCCCACAAGCTAAATGTTAGCTGCGCTCTTGCGCTCTTCTACTCACTCACCTCCAAAAAGCCGCCGCCAGAACATGCCGCCCAACCAGGAGCAAGAGTTTATCTGCGAGTGTGCTGGGCAGATCCACTTATCCGCGAGTGTGCTAGGCAGATCCACCGATAGCTATAGACACTTTTAGGGCAAGGTTCTTAGAATATTCCTTGAAACTCCATTTTGCTTTCATTCTTTTAATGCTATATAAAAAGTTAATCTTTATAATGAACATTTAATTTCTTTAGTGAGTCGATGATGCGGCATCTCAAATATGTACTTAGAATTAAATAATTCTTTCTATCAAAGTTTTAGGATCACCAACTTGATCCGTTAGCCTCATGTCATAGGCACTCGTTTGTAGTATTTAACATCGGTTCTAGAGCTCCTTTTCCTATCTTTCTAGGCTTCCATAGTGTAGAGTTCTCTATGGCTCACACTTTTCTCTTTGCTACTTCTCTCTTCGCTGTTCTTGCTAGCGCTGTTCTAGCTACCAACACCAACAACTCATGTTTCCCAGGTAAGACTCTGCAAGCGATTTTACAACCAGTCACAAGCTTTATGTTTGCAATCAAAACACAGGCGACGCCACCGTCCAAATGTATAACGGCGACCTCAAACTCATGAGAGATCTCGAAGTTGGAGACAAGGTATTGTATTGCTCTTAAGTTTTTCGAGAGCCCAGCTAAACGTGCCAGGTCTAAAGATTGCAGTGAGCAAAAACGTGTTCTCCGATGTCTACGCATTCGGCCACAAGGACACCGATGTGATCTCCGAGTTCATCCAGGTCCACACCGCCTCAGACATGATCGAGCTTAGCGAGGGCCACTTCATCCCAGTCGACGCCAAGGGAAAGCTTGTGTACAAGCGAGCCAAGGATCTCCAGGTTGGAGAAACTCTCTGGGGATCATCTCAAATCACTGGTAACATCATACTTGTTTTGAGACTTTGCTCTTACTTTTGATAATTATAGAACTTTCCAAGGTGGAGAAGCTGGATCTCTACAACCCATTCACTCTCTCCGGCAACATCATGGTTAACAACGTGGAGGCTTCCTCTCACAGCGAGTGGTTCCTGGACTCCCTCTTTGATGCCATTGGCGCAACTGAGTACCTCCCATATGCATACCAGGCCGTGCTCGCTCCACTTCGTGCCATCTACAACATTGTCGGGAAGGAAATCTATGGAAAGGGTTATGCTGCCGTCAATTCTTGTGTCAACGTTGCTGAATTTGGAATGAAGCACGGAGGAAGCATTGCTCTCACCATTGGAATCAATGGAGTTGCAACAGCAATGCTGGCCACGAAGGCTTGAGCAAAAATCAGGAGTAAATAAGAGAGAAATAATCACAATCCAGATCAGGTCAATGTAAATCTCCAGAACAAGAATGAAAGAAATGAGTGAAGAAACTGTGTGATGTCAAACAAAAGCTTCATTTCATGACATGCATCACAAAGATGCATAAATGTTAAGTTTCTCAATTGTATAGGGGGTTTTAAATGTATAGTAAAGATAGTCGGGCATAGTTGACCAACCTAAGGTATAATTTCTTTTGTTTGTGTTTTTGTCATTGTTTTGTGTTTGGATTGGGTGTAAGCTTAAATTCTATACCATGTTAGTTGGTGGAGTATTTATATCCTCACGTTAGACTACTAATATGTTGAAATAATATGAAATTTCATTTGGTTCTGTTTTGCGTGTTAATTTTAGCATTGGGATGGTAAATGCTCTAATGTTGTTCTAAGTTACTTCACATTCCTATCCCTTCACTTTTTGGGCTGTACATTCAAGAGCCCATTCTGTGCTCTTGTGCCATTACCCTTTAACCCTATCTTAGGAGTTTGGCACTATTCCTTCATTCAATGGCTTAAGGCCCTGAAACTCAAGTTTTGCACCATTGTCCTTAGGACACATGGCATGTGATATATGGCATATGTGCTTCATGGTTATCATATGGTAAATCATCATAGGATAAAAGGTAAAAATCATGTGATATAAATTTTTATATTCGATGCACTCATATTGACGGAGTTGAAGAGTAGCCTTGATTGTCTTTGAGGAATGCTTAGATTTATGTTTTTAATTTAGATCAAGTTTTTGGTTTAGATAATTAGTTTAGTTATTTGATGTTATGTGGTTGCAACTAAATAATTAATTTCAGTTGATGGTGATATTCATGGCAAATGGTGCAACTCTTCTAACTCTTTCTACCCATCCTTATATCTGGTAAAATGTTTTTTGTAGAAATCCCAAAGATGATAATGATCATTGGTTCAATCACTTTACATTGATTGCCAATTATTATTTTTGAAATGATATCTAATATTTACACAAGTTTTTCACATATCTCCAAAAGACATTGTTGTAGTGGTACAATGGTTTAAGTGTGGAACCTCCTCCCAAATGTCTTCAAGCATGCATTTAGAAATATTGATAATTGTGATGATGCCTTCTAACAATTGCATCATCTTTGTTAGGGACCATCTAAGTCAGTTATGCAATTTAATGTTTGAATCTAAAGCCTCTTACTTTGTGTAGAGTTTAAGTAAACAAAAATCAGAATTTTCAAAAGAAATATAAAATGATTTGCTACACTTTAGATGTACCAATGCTTTGTTTGTTTAATAGTAGTGCTTATTATTTATTAATCTAATTGATTGATAGGAAGTTTATAATTTCTAAACACGAGATTAAATTTATTACACATTAACCATTAAATGTTCTAGCATTAAATGGTAGAATATCCTAGAATATTTAAATATATTCTAAATATCTACTACCAAATCTAAATGGACAATCTATATTATCTCACTTAAGTAAGTGATAAACTAACTTTCCATTACCTAAACAAACATCCATAAATTTTTTATTGAAATCATGCAATCTTAATTGAAATCTTAATCTAGATTTATACTTATCATTATATTCTAAAATATATTACCCTAAACCCTAATTATCCAAGAATAACCCCTACTGATTGTTTAACACCATATCACATTACCATTCAAACCTAACAATTTTGTGGAGATGTTTTCCATATCTTCAATACAGTGCATAAACAGCAAAGAAATATCTAACTTCCAACCAGTTTTCAGCTTCTGGACATATCACACTTACATCATCACTGAAGTTGAACCCAATTTTTGCTATAAAATGTCCATATTCCTAAACATAAATATTTAGATACTTAAATATAAAAATAAAAAACTCACAAAGTATGATGATGAAAAATTGCCAAATAATCATCCAATCCAGCCAACCTTGAATCTGTAGAAAAAATAAAATAACCTGACTCAGAATACTTAAGGCTCATCCCAAGTGCTATACGTCTTATATGTTGAAGTTCAAATTCAGTAGTTTTAAGAATCCTAGCAGTTTGTAAAGCTTCCAGCACTTCCTAAAAAACATAAAGAATAAAATTTATAAGAAATTTCAAATGATATAATATAATACCATGATAGGAATGTTGTACATTGATTTCCTACTTTGGATCAACGTAGACAGTTTAGTCCCAGGGTCCTTTTGTAAATGCCGCTCTTAAAGTACAAAAACATTTTAGATTAAAAGCTAAAAATATTTGCTTGCCGAGAATGATCCTAAACATCGCCTGTGTTGCCCATCTCATCACGTTGTTAGCTAAGCAATTTGGATTTTCACAAAGCATCGTTGTAAGGCCGCCACACTTGGTTTTTGAGCACGGAATGTATTTTGCATTAGCAGCCAGCACAGCAGTGGAGAATAAACATTCACCAACCTTAGTCTGTGAAAGAACAGTAGTAAGCATCACAGAAACGATACTGATTTACCTGATATTCTGGCATGACAAGAAAAGTGATTTACCTTAGATTTTGGCTCGAGCAGCATTGTGTCCTGAGAATTGGTGACCTTGTCCAATGTACCCCCACAATCCTGTAAAAAAATGAAATGGAATTAATCTTCACGAGTAATAAGGAAGAATGATTTACTTGCGACTTGAGCAACATCATCTCTGTTATTCCCTCTGAATGCATTATGTCACATACGGCCGCGTCCTTGGCCACCCTGCCCTGGACACCAAGCTTGTCCCAAAGACGATCGTCAAAGACTGCCTTGGCAGGGACAAGCTTGGTGCCAGCCACACACGCCAGCACGTCGTATAGAGCATCTTCGGCGAAAAAGAGGCCCATCTTTCTATTGATGCCAATACCGCGGAGATCCACCACGACGCACTTTCTGATCCCGATCGCGTCCACAGCGTTCAGCTCCTTGACAGGATCCTCTCCACGGTCATGAGACGCCTGGACGAACTTCCTGGCCGACAGTGTCATGGGCATGCCCCGGAAGTCGTCGTAGTTGACGACCCAGTCCAGAGAGCCATACTGCAATGCCTTGGTGGGAACCGCCAGAAGGATGTAGCCAGTGGAGACCCGATTCTGCCAGATGGATTCCTTATAGACGAGGACTTGTTTAGCATCAAGCTCTCCTAAAGTTCCATCGATCACGAATTCCGCCGGAGGACCCGACACCGCAGGCCGAGCTCAAACGTGGAAATGCAGCCCACGGCTTCGATGCTCCTGATCTGGCATGGCTCCAGCGGCGTCATTGAAGGCTCCATTTCGTTGTCGTACAAGTAGGCTGGAATGCTCCAAGGCGCTCCCCAGTAAAGGGCATTTGCATGTGTACGACGCTGCTTGGGGCAGATGTTTCCATGAGCGTAGCTCAGGTGATCAAGCAACGTCGTGTCGGGGCAGCCGCATGCAGTCAACTGCCGGTTGTAGCAGATATCGCAGAAGAGGAACAAGGAGGTGGTGGTGTTATCATAGACGAGCTTGAGAGGAGGAGCAGGAGCACGAGGCCGAGCTCGAACCCGAGCTCGAGTTTCCGCGAGCGTGCCACATCCGCGGGCAACTCCTGTGCCCACAAGCTAAATGTTAGCTGCGCTCTTGCGCTCTTCTACTCACTCACCTCCAAAAAGCCGCCGCCAGAACATGCCGCCCAACCAGGAGCAAGAGTTTATCTGCGAGTGTGCTGGGCAGATCCACTTATCCGCGAGTGTGCTAGGCAGATCCACCGATAGCTATAGACACTTTTAGGGCAAGGTTCTTAGAATATTCCTTGAAACTCCATAACTCGTTTTATTTTGCTTTCATTCTTTATATAAAAAGTTAATCTTTATAATGAACATGCGGCGACCTCAAACTCATGAGAGATCTCGAAATTGGAGACAAGGTATTGTATTGCTCTTAAGTTTCTCGAAAGCCCATCTAAACGTGCCAGATCTATAGGTTGCAGTGAGCAAAAACGTGTTCTCGGATGTCTACGCATTCGGCCACAAGGACGCCGATGTGATCTCCGAGTTCATCCAGGTCCACACCACCTCAGACATGATCGAGCTTAGCGAGGGCCACTTCATCCCAGTCGACGCTAAGGGAAAGCTTGTGTACAAGAGAGCCAAGGATCTCTAGGTTGGAGAAACTCTCTGGGGATCATCTCAAATCACTAGTAACATCATACTTCCTTTGAGACTTTGCTCTTATTTTTGACAATTATAGAACTTTCCAAGGTGGAGAAGCTGGGTCTCTACAACCCATTCACTCTCTCCGGCAACATCATGGTTAACAACGTGGAGGCTCCCTCTCACAGCGAGTGGTTCCTGGACTCCCTCTTTGATGCCATTGGCGCAACTGAGTACCTCCCATATGCATACCACGCCATGCTCGCTCCACTTCGCGCCATCTACAACATCGTCGGCAAGGAAATCTATGGAAAGGGTTATGCTGCCGTCAATTCTTGTGTCAACGTTGCTGAATTTGGAATGAAGCACGGAGGAAGCATCGCTCTTGCTGGTGGAATCGCTGGAGTTGCAACAGCAATGCTGGCCACGAAGGCTTGATGAAAAACCAGAAGTAGAATAAAATGTAAATTTCATTAACATATTTTATGCTTTTGATTATTCCCCATATATTCTCAATGGTTTATTGTTTGTTTAGTGGATATACCTAGATATTTTAGAACTTTTTACCATCTAATGGTTGTTATTCCTTTAGATTAATCTCGTGTTTATAATTTATGATTAAAGCATACTCTAGCTTATCTAGCTTTTATACCATTAGGTTAAACTTGTGGTTGTTAAAAAAGTTCTTAAACATGATGGAAAGTGTATTGTGTGGTTTATATGCTCAACTAGGAAAAACATTTTCTTGTAATACATAAATCATAATAATTTGTTATAATACAAACTAAGCAAACCCAACTTTTCTAAAATGTAATGTGTCACAATTTATTATTATTTATCTAAAAAAAAGGCTTGATGTACCACAAGTAAAATAAAATAAAATTTCAAAAAATAGAAAAAGAAAAGAAAACTTTTGATTATTCCCCTTCTTTCTTTATATCCAACTCCCAATTTTATATTCTAAATGGTTCATTTGCATCTTGGTAGTTGATATACCTAAAATATAGTTGAATATTCTAGAATAGTAATAGTAATTTAATGGCTATTATTTATTTATAATAATTTTATCATTAAATTTAAACATGGTTATAATTTATAAAATTTTCCCAAACACCTTCTAGCTCTAACTATTATACCATTAGATAAATCTTGTGTTTATCAAAAACATTCTTAAAAATAATAATTTATTATTATTTTTCTAAAAATATTATTATAATGCTATTAAATAATAATAGTATCTTTAAATATGAATCTAAGTATATTTATATTTTAATTAATATATTAAATTAAGTGATTAGTTTCAAAATTTACAAAATTTGTTTCATTAATTTAATGAAAATTACTTTTGTGAGTGTTTAGAATATGGAAAGGGAATATAAAAAATATGCCCCAAAAACCCTAATTTATATATAGAAGCGAGTGGTTTGGATTGAAACCAATCCAATGGCTACCAAAATCCCACTATGCTAATATTAGTATATGGCATAGTAGCCGTACACTTGGCCCTCACATCATCCCCTCCTCTTGGAATAATGGAAAACCATCAGGGTTCTCTTGTAAACTGGCCAGGATCTGGAGGAACGTCAAGAGGAGGCATCGGCAGATCTGTAAGTGGTATTAATTGTTCCTGATCCTTTTGTATGAAGTGTTTCAACCGCTGCACATGCACAATCTCTGGAGGATCGGCCTGTTGGACGTCATGCCGAACCTCATAAACTTGTGGTCTAACTTGCCGCAACACCTGATACGGTCCTTTCCACTGCGCAAGAAGCCCCTTAGATAAACCACGTACTGTAAGATGGGGAAAACGGACTAACACCAAATCATCCACTTTGTACTCTGTAGGTGAACGATGATAAGAGTTGTAGCGCCGTTGTTGTCCCACTTATACGTAGCCTAAGTGTTCGGCAGACTCAGTTTGGACAAGTGGAAGAATGCTTGTCAAATACTGATCCCACGACCTAACATCGGCAGCTCGTGGCAATCGCGAAGGTAAACCTAGCTTTGTTGATAATATTGGATCATGACCATATAGGAGTTTATATGGTGAAGCACCAACAAAACTCTACACCCCTGTGACATATGCATATTGAAGAGACGGCAAATAACCATCCCAATTAGAATGTTGAAAGTTCACATACTTCGCAATTGTAGCGCACGTGGTTTTTACCCTTTATCCTATGGTGATTTACCATAGGATAACACCATGAAGCAGAACCTAAACCCTCTTTGTGCCACGTGACAGATGCCATGTGTCATATGCCACGTGTCCAAAGGACCGTGGTGTGGAACCCGAGGTTCAGGGCCTTGGGCCACTGAACGAAGGAACGGTGCCAAACTCCCAAGCATGGAGCCAAGGAGTGACGGAACCGAACCACGAAGCAACTCCCGAGCGTACAACCCAAGGAGCAAAGGGACAGGAGCCCGGAGCGACTTGGAACAGTCCTAGAGCAACCAGCATCCCAATGCCAGGACCAGCATGCAAATTGGAGCCAAATGAAGTTTTGCGCTATTTCGGCATACCGGTGGCCTAACGTGAGGATATAGGTACTCCACCAGCTAGCATGGAATGGAACTTGGGCTTAGACCCAAGCCGGACGCAAAACAAGGACAGGCACGCAAGCGGGAGCTAGACTATGCCTCAGGTTGGTCGGCCATGCCCGACCTACCCACTATCTCTACTATACATTTGGAACCCCCCACAGCCCCCCCCCTTGAGGAACACACGCTTTGGGCTTTCACCCCAAGCCTCCCTTAGTATCAGGAGTTAGTCTCTGGGACAAGCTCGAAACTTACTAAATATGGAATATCTTTAGATTGTGAATTTGGACACGGGATGAACACCGTTGTGTTCAGGCCGATCTCTACATTCCGTAGATGTGCCAAATGAGCAAATCTGGACACTTTCCATAAATAGCATTTGGGACCGAAATGAGACTAACACAAAGGGCATGATAGCGAGGGTGTTTGGCAGACACGGTAAGCTATCATGTAGCGATATTGAGGGACAAATCTCAATACGCGAGGGTTCTTGTCAAGCCAGTGCAAGACAGAGCAAAAGAGAACTAAAAAGCCAGGCCAAGTATGCTTGGCTGAATAGACACTTAGGAATTCCGTCCTTATGCTTATCCGGCCAAGTACAGATGCAAAGTCCAGTTTATTAACACTTGAACAAGAGGGGCTGATAAAGGGTCCAGCAATACCGACCTCCTGCCATCGTGGCAATAAGGTAAGAGTGTCTGTAAGGACTGGTCGACAGGTAACTTTCGATACCCGAAGTCACATGCGCGACACTCTCCCCCCCTAGGGAAGATCGACGTCCTCGTCGATGCATACTCGAGTCTAGAATACCGTCAAGGAAACAACTCCAGAAAAAGTTCACGGTACTCACACTATGTGAGAAATGCACCAACTTAAATGAGTTAGGAGGCAACCTCTTTGTCTAACGCGGATGTGCTACCAGCTCAGACACCTTCCAGCCGTCGCTGACAAGGAAATGACCAACGGAGTCAGCCACCCTTGCTGCTCTGGGAGTCACCCAGCTTACAAAAGTGTGATATGCCCTGCCCGCAGAGACATAGAGAGAGGAACTAGAGGCCCCAACCCTCCTGAGCAAAGAAACCAAACCCGTCGGTAAGGTTTAGATAGACTACTGTAAACAGGCAGTTAGAGTTGTTTACACAGTCACGCCCTTTCAACGGAATAAGGAACATCGACAGAGAGGCGGGTGATGTGACCAGTCGACAGTAGCTACCCCATGACTAAAGATTTCACCATGCACACGAAGTGCCGAAGCCAGTCTGCCCATTACTGGCCCAAACTCAAAGAACAATAGATGGACAATATCAAAGTTATAGACAATGATATCTTAGAGTCGGAATTATCAGTGAATAAATCTTATATTAGAACACACAAGTATTCCAAGTATGTTATCATCTGATAAACTAGTATTATAGGATAGGAACCACCAAGATCACTATCATTGGAAAACATAGGATTAACCATCCAACAAAATTCAATAGCAAGTATATCATCAAGTAAACTCAATGATAAAACTTAACTACCGAAGATGGTAGACAGGATGCCAAACAACTTACTAAAGATAACTCAAAGAACACAAAGTATCATTGACTAACAAGCACAATACTCGCGAATGTATCACCCGAAGGAAATAACATCCTAATCTATAAGAACTAACTCGGGCAATAATCAACAGAACAAAATGAATGTTGCAAAGCAAGCAAATATAGTGTTTATGCCAATCATTGCACTAGCCAATCCAGATAGATCCCAGCCAATAACACCAAGGAACTCAAGTTGCCTAAGCAAGTGTCAGCAACATCCTACTGATGTCTCAATCCCAAGAGACCAAACCAGAGCAAACCACAAATAATATGTGGTATTGCGAAAAGCCATAAGCTATCAAAGATAAGAACTAACCATAATGAAAGATCATCAAAATTATCCCATCAATAAAGAGATGCATAATCACCATCTAAGAAGGAATCCACCATCCTGAAGAACGGCAAACCATTCTATACCAACAATAATTAAGCAAAACCTTTTTGACAAGGATAATCAACTATCCCAGATAATAGTCAATCATCA